TAGGGATTCTCTAGGAAAAGGTAGAAATTCTCCAGGAACAAGTAGGGGTTCTCCAGGAACAGGTAGGGATTCTGTAGGAACAAGTAGGGATTCTATAGGGACAGGTAGGGATTATGAAGAACAATTGTGTGCTTCCAAGTCCAGCCCCTGTTTTCAGATCCCAAAATGCCTGAGCTGCTGGCTGTGGAATCAGTGCAGGTCTTGCCTGGGTGTTCCTGCATTTCCCCCCCTCCCAAACTGCTTTAACTGACTTAAAATTACTTCCCCCCTCCCCAAAAAAAACCCCCAATGACATTACAAATGCAGCTGGAGCAGGAGTGTGGGAACAGCCCAGCCCAGACACAGGAATGGAGATGATGACTTTGGCAGCACTGGGTGGTCCCAAGGTGCCCCCTGGAGCTGCAGGAGAGCTCAGGGGTCAGTTTAGGTCTCTGTCCCGTGTCTCCCTGGACGCTTCACGAGGAATTTGGCAGCGAGGAGGAGGAGGATGAAGCCCCTCCACGTCCCCGCTCACCCCTTTCTCCACCAGAGCTCTACAGCTACACCGAGGAGCCCGAGCTGAGCCACAACAGGAGGTGCTTCGAGGAGGATTTCCACGCTCAAGGTACCACCCCTGGGCCCGGGGCAGCCCCTCGGGGAGGGAGCGGGACCCCCGGGGAAGCCCCGGGCTGATGGTCGTGTCCCTCCCCCAGTGCCGGGCAGGAGGTGGCCGGAGCTGGACGGGGCCCAGCAGAAAGCCTTTGTCATGCGCCTGCTGGACGGGCTGGAGGTGGTCAACAGGGACAGGAGGCTCCAGGTGGCCCGGGCCATCCTCTACCTGGCACAGGGTAAGTGCCACATCCCTGTCTCCACCACCAGGGGCCTTGGGAGAACCTCGGGAGAACCCTTCTCCCGGGGCTGTGCCGGGCTGGCGCGGTGCAGCTCCTTCCCGTGGGCTCCGGGGGTTCCGAGGCGGATCCCCGTGGACCAGGGTTTGTCTCCTTGGTTGCTCCTCTCCAGGTGTGTTTGGGGACTGCGATAACGAGGGCGATGTCCTGCGCTGGTCTCGGCACAACAGCTTCCTCCTGTACCGCCTGGGCACCTTCTCCGCCTTCCTGGAGCTGCTCAACATGGAGATCGAGTGAGGGCACCCTGCCCTCACCCTCCCTGCCCTCTGCTTCACCTTGTGCTTTCTTCTCACCCTCATCACCCTCCCCTTCTTGGACTCGATGATCTTGGAGGGCTTTTCCAACCTGAATGATCCTGTGGTCCTATGATCTCCTTTCTCCCCTTCTTCTTCCCTTCTCACCTTCTTTCTCCCCGTCCTCCTCTTCATCTTCGTTCTCCCCGTCCTCCTCACCCTCTTCCTCTTCATCTTCTTTCTCTTCATCCTCCCC